GGAACGGTCAAATTATTATGTCGAGTTACGGCGCTGGGTATCTTGACTCATCATCCTATGTGGGACGTGCCCGATGCGAATTACTTGCACGAGCAAAGCAGTGATATGATACAGTGACGAGAAACCAGAGCACTGAACAAGACAGAAGATTATTCGCTCGCCGCCATAACTACAGTCAATAACGAGTCAGAGGGAGTCAAGAGGATCAGCAAATCGACTCACTGGCATTGATCAGATCTCCTCCGCTCTCTTTCAATACTCTGACGGCCTTAGCCCTTGAGCAGTTGACTTGTGCCATGACCAACTCGATGTCTTTAGGATCGACGCCCGTCTCATCAACTGGTCCGTCGTCTTCTGGTGCTTCGAGTTCTGGGATATCGTCGTCATCATCGCCCTCACCGCCCGCACCAGAGGTTTCAAGGTTCATGGCGCCTGCACCTGCACCTCCGGCAGAAGCAAGTTGTTGAGCCGTAGACATTTGAGCTTGCGAGTTCATATCCTCAATCTATGGAAACGAGACATCAACAACAATATATATATCCATCCGTCTTACATACCTTTGCTTCACCAAACACGATATAGCAGTCGCTGTTTTGCGACTTGTAGACATCGGGGGAAGAGAGAACGAACAACACGTTCTTGGGCCTACGGAGGGTCACGCGGGTGATGCTGGGGACCTTCTTCAAACCCAAACCAAGAAGAGCCTTTCGGGCCTTTCGCTCTGAACGAGATTGAATTTTGTCGAGAGCAGCCTGGGAGGTAGGGTCCTCCTCGTGCTCGTGGTCAGAATGGTCCGAAGGGAGTTCCTCAATGGTAGCGCACATCTAGGGGATGCGTCAGTGACGTGTTCTAGTACATCTGAAATGATCATCGTCGATCCATCCAAAGACTCTCATTTCCAAGCAAGTGACGTATCCTGAGGTTTTAAGGTCTGAAATGGTGCTTACCTTTGTTTTTATGAGGTTTTTTGGGTGGATGTGTGCTCGTCGTTGTCAACAGCGAGCCAAGCAGAATCAACCTGTGAACCCGGCGTTTGCCGAAAAAGGCAATACCCGCACTCGCTGGCATATTTGCGCTTCTCATATGAGAGCCACAGAATTATCGTAGGATAACTGCTATTCGGTTATAAAATCAATGCATGGTGATCTCCATGTAATTAACGTCCTCCTTCGCTTCAAATGACTCCATGAGGCCGCCACGACGTTATATACCAGACAGCCCAGTAACTTCCAGTGAGATATAAAGCGACAAGACATTCGCATTACACAAAAACACTCTTGTCCTTCATTCACCACGAGCACAGCAACAAAACATGTAAAGGTGCCTAACACGGCTGAGGCGGCAATCCTTCACCCCTATTGATAATAATATCCAACAGCATTTTAGCGCATTCCACGTGTATACGTGCGTACCTCACTTGCACGTCGTAGTTCTTCCTCCTGAACATATTTCAGACATGACCATACTGGAGTCTCATCATTTTTGCAGCCACCGCTGGAAGGATTTCCATCAGGTGAGGACACTTTGAAAATGTCTGATGATCTGTTTCGTTCACCATCAACTAGTGCGTGATCTACGACTTCGACGCACCCGCCGATGCTAGGTTGATCGGCATCGAGTATATTGCGTCTGAACAGGTAACGGTGGCATTCAGGCAACGATTTGTTCGCTACTGATTGTTGTGCAGATTTTCAAGTCGCTCCCCGAAGAAGAGAAGAAGTATTGGCACTCACATAAGCATGAGGTTTGTCATCAGACCAAGATCTTCCCCTTCATTTGATTCATGCCTCTGCCAGATGGAAAGCGGAATTCTTTGCCTCGAGGTAAGCTTTGGTGGTGCACAGGAGAATCATTTTATTAACCCCTCTGTTAGACGAAAGGTGTTGTTCCGAGTACTTGAGTGGCATGGAATGTCTATGCCTAATCTTTTTGTGGGTGTCGTGAACGACACGGTTGAGCAACCGGTCATGCTGCATTTGCATCATACTTACGGAAAGACGATCCATACATGGGCTTTCGATGAGTTTTTCAGAACTGCCACTTGGACCCTTACACTGGTATTAACCTGCCCAGCGACGAGGCCATCCATCGCCGGGATGAGCGCTCTGTAATTTCGTCCTCAGCGAAGAAGAAGCTGCGTGAAGTTTATTTGCCGGGGTATCAGAAAGATAACAAGACGGATCAATGGGAGGCGAGTGGTACAGGTATAACGTTCAGGCCGTTCCGAAAAAATACAAATTCAAGAACAAGGTCATGCGAGTATTTTATTGGAAATTTGACTGCTGGCATATAACTTGTATTATTATCATGACTAGTCGTGTAACAATTTGAAGTCGGGTGAGAGGAGCCATGTGAGCGCTTGAGCGCTCATTCGGTGCAACGTTTATGTAAAGCTACATAGTAAAACCCTGATCTCCCAGAGTTCATGTCGATAACAGCTCTGTCCCACCAGATCCGCATAATATTAGAAGAGGCTCCAGATGACGCACGACTAGAACAGGCTCTCCAGGCTGTAGACGAATTTGTCCGTGAATGTGCTGCATCTAAAGAGCCAGATGTTTTACTCTTCCGACTGGAAGAGGAACTCCAATCACTCCACAGCGATACAATCACCCACAATTCCCTCCAGCATACTGAAGTGCTACTGGTCATCCTATTCCGTTTGCGCCCCTTGTTAACGTCAATTTCGCTCATCTCTACATGGTTCGACCTAGTTCTTCGTCCCGCCTTACGAGAACCACGGCTTTCCACTCTGGCTGTCAATCACGCCAAGGAACTAATTATCTCAGCAGCAGATAGAATAGACGAAAAGTATCCTGAGAAGGTGGCCGAGTTTCGACGTCGCCTCCTTGACCTTTATGTTTTGGATGTATACAATGAAGGATCTGGTGACGACTTGCTGGAATGGGCCGAACTTGACCAGGAACAGAGGGGGAAAAGATCGCTGTGGAAGTTCAATCTAGAAGATATCCTCGTGAAGTCTGGGTTGTGTCGGCCTCAGGTATTCGACAGATGCACTTTGTCTCATCCAGACGTACTGAAGGATGTGCTTAGGATTTCATGTCCGCAATAAACTACTCCTTTGCAACACCGTCATCACGTCTGCAACTATTGATCCTGCTCAATCGATACACTTCAGAGCCGTCATTCCAGTCCCTTGCAGCAGCACTCGCCGACCATCCTTTGTTAGACAGTCTCCTCAACTCGCTACTGCTGGACAATTCTTCGACGGTGTGCACCATTGGATTGACTGTCATAGTCAAACTTCTCCCTATATTTGCTGTTAAAGCATGTGAGAAGCTGAAGACGATGCTCCCTCGTCTTCTTGCAATTCTTGCAAGAATTATATGCTGGAAGGAGAGATCCGTTCCTAAACCAGCATTTGAGGAGGCTGAGGATACAGACGAAAGTTCTGCGACTGGCGATGCGCAAGCATCGGCGTATAACGAATTCACTGCATCATCTAATCTGCCCTTACGACCTGAGCTCGGCTGGGAAAGGCTGGAGCTTATGTTTAATACCGCATCTTCCGCCCCACCGCCTGGGATTTTTTTTTCCTGCCTCTACTATCTTTTCCCATGCAACTTACTCCGCTTCCTGCGTGGCCCCTCAGCGTATATTAACGATAGGCGCTATGAATCGCCCTTCTCTATTAGTTGGGAAGATGCACTCGATGAGGACAACATAAGGAGCAAATCGGAGGTGCGCAATGGTCATTTATTTTTTGATTCTTATAACTGAATGGAGCTTGCAGTCTCTTTTACGAGGAAGAATTGTCAATGCAAGAGTCATATGGGGAGATTGGACAAAAGAGTTGACAGAACCCGATACGTGGGCCAATTACAGTGTCTCTCGCATCGCGAGCGAGTGCATGATGCTTGACGTGCGAAACACAGCTCTAGGCAGCAAGCAGTTCTGTGCTGACATCGCGTCGGTTGCTGCTGAGTCATCCCTCCTCGAATCAACTACCCTATTTGACGGAGATACTTCAACGGCACCAACGCCTCACCCTGGCTATGTAGAGCTGCCAGCTGCAAAGCCCCGCGTCTCACTGGAGAGCATGATCACCGCGTCCGTTGCACTCAAATCCAATCTGGATGTGGAGATCGAAGCCCCAACGGCCGCCTGGTCATCCCTATTGTTCCCTACAGGGAGCAATTCTCCGACAAAGCGCGCTTTCGATGCGCCGCCAGATCCAAATACTTACAATGGACAACTTCCATCTCACGTTGCACAGGCAATTTCTGGTCTCCAGCGTGAAGTCCTACTTCTGCGAAATGAACTAAACTTTGAGCTTTGGCTTTCGCGGGAGAACGTAAAACACATTGGACGCCTTTACCAAGATCGGATTTTGTCCAAAAATGCAGAAGTTGAGCAACAGGGGCTGGTGTGTGTCTCGTACCCGAATTATTCAACTTGCTGATCATCATGTAATAGTTCAACAAGTTACGCCACTACAGGGCCGAGGTCCAGCGGTTAGATCGCCAGCTGAGGGATCACAGGGAACAATCATCATCTGCAAAAAACAAATATGCTGATTGGAATACTGAACTGCAGAGCAAGCTGAAAGAGTTTCGGGAGGAGAAGAAGGCATGGGTCTTTGAAGCTGCTTCGCTACGAACGGCGAAGAAAGAAGCTCAGGTAGAACTTCATTCGACATTACGATTATGTACTAATTCTTACCCAGGCTCTTTTTGCTGCTCAAGGACAATTGCTCGCGGATGCAGTAAAACAAGTATTTGAGCTCCAGACTCAGAGAAAGGAAACCCAGCACAAAGTTGACCGTCTAAGGGATTATGAGCGACAGATCGAGCAGCACATTCGCATGCAACGTCTCTGGTTCGACTTCTTCACATTGGGTTCCGCTATGATGTTCGCTGACTTGTTTGTAGGGATGGAGACTTCCAGAAGTTCAATGACCGGGCTGAAGAGCTCCAACAGCTAAGAACGCAATTTAAGCAGGTGGAGCTGCATCTGGAGAGTTATCAGAAGACATTCGAACAAATGAGTGAGGACGCTCGGTACGAATTTCATTTGCTTTGCATGCATCCTGAACAAAACATTGTTGTAGGAGCCATCGACGACAAAACCAGGCACTAGAAGCCCGTCTTTCTCTACTTCAAAAGAGATGTGATGCCTCCCGACGCCTTCCCGAAGCTGAGATAGCAGCATTCATGGAAGAGAAGTCGGAGCTTGGTGCAGCCAACGCCAGGTTGAGGGATGAAAACGCCGATCTAAAAGACGAGATGGGGGAGATGAGAGCAAGGATGGAACTTATGAAGGCTCAGATTGATGGACATAAAGGCCTGATTGCCGAAACGCGATCCATGCCAGCATTATGAATCCTCGAATGTGGAGGAGGATTTTCTTACCTTGGAATTGGATTCCTGGTAAAAGCGGTGGCTTCGAGAAAGTTTTTGATGCTGATATTCAAGCTGAGGCAAGATCTAGTTACAACCTTAGTAATTACTGATGTACATGTTTAGGAGGAGTCCAGTCACGCGAATTGCGTCCGCGGAATCAGCTGTTCGCAGCTCTACGAATTTCAAAAGACGGGTATATGCTAACAGTACTTTTGAATCATGATCCTAAAACCATATGGCTCCAGCCGTCTGATGCACTTGGGGTGTGGTCTCTTCTATTCCCCATGTCGGGGTCAGGCCATAACGAAGCACTATCCCGGGCTTGAAATGATACAGCATGGTTCTCATTGACGACCTCCGAAGGCGAGAAAACCCTACTCTCCAAATAGGCGAGTAGTACATCTCCCGCGACAAGAGATCAACCATCTCACAGGAACTCGTCAATTTTGATTTACTTCAACACCACAAGCAGGTCTACGCTTCACCTCCACGTTCCGGTCTAACCAAGATGTCAGCTTTGTCAAATTCTCCTTCCATTCGCCCACGACTCAGGGTAGAGCTGAAAAAGATAATGCAGTCTGTATGACTAAGGCCAACTCTAAAAGAAATAAGCCAGCAGAAATAGCCATCTTGCGTTCTACAACGGAATGGCAAGGAAGGTTCGCATTAGGTTAGGCCGGTACGT